TTTTATGATATTCAGCAGGGGGATTTGAAAATTGGGCATTCTATTACACTTAGCTAACCACTAAATTTCATTGACTTTGTGAACCTATGCATAGTCACATTATTCAATTACATCCTCGAGGTAGAATTTCCATGTTTATATGCTTTTCCTTGGGAACTCATCCAACTTATCCGAAACATTTATTGAGATGTAGCCATTTTGTGACTGAGGTTGAATGCTTTAGGGATGCATTTCTATCTTCCATGAGATGAAGTCCATGAAAGACAGTTACTTGATCCTAATATCGGCCGATGTATTTTTAAGAACACATGAAAACCGTGCATTGAATATTATGTCCATAAAAGTTAAGCTGAGGTGGTCAGCTCTTGGAATGAGAGTAAATTGATAATTTTTATGCAATGCTGGTTTTTAATTTTTAGAAATCTATCTAAATTCTTGAAATAAATTTTTTTTTTCATACATATGTTTAGTCTTGCCCGGATGTTGTTAGCATTATCAACAACACCCATGCAAGAGAATCTTGGCCGCATGCCTTGCTAGCTGTTAGCATTATATATGATTTCTTGTGAGAGTGGATTTTGCCTAGCGCTACCTGTTTCCCTTTAGGTATGTGTTCTAAGCAATGTTTTAAAAAACGGCGAGTCGAACCGGACTCGCTCGGTTCGATTCGGAAACACGCGTGCCCGTGCCGGTTCCAACCGAAAATCGGGAACTGTCCGGTTTTAGAGTGGAACCGCCAATTCCCATCCGGTTTAGTCTGGTTCTAGAGTGGAACCATGATACGCACGTGCAAGCGTCCCATGCACACTCACACGCCCACACATGTGTTCGAGCGCACGTGTGAGCGTGCCCCATGCACACTCGCACGCACACACGTGTGTTCGAGCGCACATGCGAGCGTGCCCCACGCACACTCGTATGTGCACACAAGTGTCCGAGCGCACGTGCGAGCATGCCCCATGCACATTCACACGTGCACACGTGCACACATGTGTCCGAGCGCACGTGCAAGCGTGCCTCATGCACACTCACACGTGCACACGTGTGTTTGAGCGCACGTGCGAGCGTGCCTCATGCACACTCTCACGTGCACACGTGTGTCCGAGCGCATGTGCGAGCGTGCCCCACGTACACTCACATGTGCACACGTGTGTCCGAATGCACGTGCGAGCGTGCCCCACGAACACTCACACGTGCACACGTGTGTCCGAGCGCACGTGCAAGCGTGCCCATGTACACTCACACGTGCACACGTGTGTCTAAGCGCACGTGCAAGCGTGCCCCACGCACACTCACACGTGCACACGTGTGTCCAAACTCACATACAAAGTTACCCTAATATTTTTATACACATTTTATAATTCATATTGTATAGGTATTTATATACCAAATTTGAATACCCATCTTTCAATGTGGGATAATTCCCAAACATCATTAAATGAAAATGAAATGTAAATATAGTCTATTAATCAGCTATTTATAATTATATGTAGTTAGATGGCTTAATGGTTATGATTTTGAATTTTTCATTTGAGGTCCCAAGGTCGAATCCCCATGGGCATCCCCTTGGGCATGTGTTGCATTTGAATCCCCTTGGGCATGTGTTGCATTTTTGTTGTGTATATAGTGGTTGGTATAAATATTTTTTTTGTTTTCGAATCCCTTTGGGCATGTGTTGCATTTTTGTTGTATATATAGTGGTTGGTATAAATATAAATATTTTTGTTGTGTATATAGTGGTTGGTATAAATATAAATATTTTTGTAAATAATATAAAAGACATAAAAAAATAGAAAAATAAAAAAGTTATTTTTTATATAACTGTTAATTTTTGTTGTATATAGTGGTATAATAATTTTTGTAAATAATATGAAAAGTATAAAAAAAAAAAAAAAGTTTATTCTA